AGGTAAACTTAAGTCCTGGTGTAACAACGGTAAAAGTCTTGTAGTAGGCGACTTTAATGCACCACATATAAACTGGGTTAACTTAGAAGTAGGGTCATCCATATCGTCGTTCGACTGCAAACTGTTAGAAACCTCGATTGGATTAGCATTATTCCAACACATTAGAGAGGTCTCAGCCAAGGGGTTTCGTACCCCCTGGGCTTTAAAAAGGACACTCACTAAGTTAGATACTACCATGTTCACCATAGTATACACATTCTTAGTGAGAACCAAGCTAGAGAACTACGCTTAGGCTGCAAGCCCCTGTTTAAAAGGTGACTCGGACATACCAGAAAAAGTACAGAGGGCAGCTACCCGTGCAATTCCGGAACTCCGGGGTTTATCATACAAAGAGCGGCTTGAAAAACTGGACCTCTTTACTCTGTCCTATCGCAGACTAAGGGGAGATCTAATTTTGATGTACAGAATACTGAGAAATGATTTCGGACCTAACTTATTCTCTCTCTTCCCACTAGATCGGGACACTTTAGAGGACATAGCAGGCGAGTAGAAAAGCCAAGAACGAACAAAACACCCGTGGCATACAGGTTTTCACACCGTGTCATCAACACTTGGAACCTGCTGCCTGAAGCAGTGGTGTCCGCACCTTCAATTGACTCTTTCAAGAGAAGACTGGAAACTCACAGAAGCATACTAGAAGAGGAATAACATAGGCCGTAGGCCTTCTGTCCTTACTACACAAATCTGAATCTGAATCTTGGCTACGACCTCCCGGCAAAGGGCAGTCGTCTTAAGATCATTGCTCACTGTCACCCCTAGATCCTTATGAGACCGTACCACAGGTACTGGGACTTCCCCTATGCTGTACCTACTAACCTTTGTGTCCCTAAAGTGCATGTGGACACACTTTGCCGCGTCGATAAGCATCAGCCACTCTTTAGACCAGTTAATCATATTATTTAAGTCTCCCTGAAGAGCACATGTGTCTGCGTCTCCGGTTATTACTAGCCAGATTTTTACACCTCAGCGTATAGTAACATTGGTGACTGTACTTGTTATAATCTCTGTGTTTCTTACGGTTAATGACCCAGCTTATTCCTATTGCTTAGTATTCTCGGACACCGATTCACTCGACAAGTCCCCAAATCAGAACACGGTTGAACAAGAAAGAGATTATATTCCAAATAGCAAGTCAGAAGCCAGTAGGAAGCACAATAGGGGAAAACGTCGGTATATTTATAGTTTTTACATAAGAAGATTCCAGAATATTCTCCGACTATCGACTAGTGCTGATTGGATAAGAATCAGCCAATCAGTGTGCACCCAAACAATCATGCATTGAGCATGCTTTAATCTAGTCTATGTCCCGCTAACAGTACTATACTTGGAAGATCATTTACATACATTATAAAAAGTAAAGGATCTAGGACGGAACTTTGAGGTACTCCACTAAGTGCTGGTCTCCAGATGGAGCACTTGGAATTTATTCTTACTTTCTGTCTACGACCTACTAGGATATCCTTAATCCATTTTAAAAGAGGTCCGGCAATACCAAGGTTTTCCAACTTCAATAGCAGTCTATTAGTTGTCACCTTGTCAAAGGCCTTACTGAAGTCTATGTAAACAACATCCAGAGTTTCCGTCGTCTAGTGCCTTTATCCAAAATTCCCTTGCTATAAGAGGGTTCGTTGTACAAGATAAATCATTTCTAAGACTATGTTGTTTTGTGTTTAGCAAGTTATTGGTTTCCATAAATGCCATTCTGGTCCGTTTGACTATTCTTTCCAGTATTTTAATTACCACACTGGTGAGGCTTACGGGTCTATAATTCGATGGAACTTGTCGTGGACCTGTTTTATGTATGGGAGTGACGATTGCATCCTTCCAGTCCATAGGTAACACACCTTGGTCAAGTGACATATTGAATATCAAAGTCAGTGGGGCCGCAATATATTGGGCAATATGTCTCAAGATTTTGGGGTGTAGTTCATCTGGTCCTGTTGACTTCTCCATGTTTAGGGTGCTAAGAGCCTTAAGCACATCGTTTTGGTCGAAGTCCACGGTGAGCAGCTGGTTTGTTGATTCTGTATTTGGGTCTGGTTCTTACTCTAGAGGAGGTTCCTGAGTGAAAACTGTCCCAAAATAGTCAGCCGTAGCCTCTGCTTTTTCTTGACCTTCCTCTATCATTTCAGATTCACTTCCTACTTTAATTAGGTTGGGAATCCAATGATGTGTCCTTGTTTTGTAGTCTACGTACGAGAATATTCTCTTGAGCTGCTTGAGTGCAGATTGTGCCAGCTGCATTTCATATTTTCTTTGAGCTTCCCGAATTTTCGTTATACACTCGTTTCTTATCGATCTGTAGCGTTCCATCGTACCTGCTGTGCCAAGGCGGATGGCAACGTCCCAGCATTTCTTCTTTTGTCTTAGCAAACGTTGAATATCCCGGCCTATCCAGGGATGGCCGTGCTTCTTTTTCTTTGGGACAGTCGAGGGTATGTGTGGTTGAGTTACCCTATTGTATAACTGCCTAAATAGAGTCCATGCCTCTTGTACTGATGCCTTTGAGTCAATTTCCCAGTTTTCAGCCGATGCTGCGGAGTTAATTGCCTGCATATCTGCCTTCCATATGTTGGGACGGGCCGGTGCAACTGTTTGACAGGCAATCTCAGCCATGAATTTGAATAAGATGACTGCATGGTCACTTCTCCCAAGTGGTGGGAGAAAAGCCATTTGACCAACGTCATCACCGTGTGTGAAGACGAAGTCTAAAAGAGAAGAGTTTCTTAAGTCGTATCTTGTGGGATCTCTAATGTGTTGGAATAATGCTAATCCAATCGAGGTTTCTAACAGTTTGCAGTCGAACGACGATATGGATGACCCTACTTCTAAGTTAACCCAGTTTATATGTGGTGCATTAAAGTCGCCTACTACAAGACTTTTACCGTTGTTACACCAGGACTTAAGTTTACCTAGGATAAAATCATCTGCTACACATTCTGGACTGCGATATACTACAACTAATTCAATATCTTGCCGTCGGCATTTCAACTTACATCTCACCAGTTCACATGTCCCTGAAACATGTGCTACTGTCTCAGCTAATCTTATGGTTAGGGTACTTTTCGTGTACAGAATAACCCCGCCTCCCCTACGGTTTAATCTATCAGCCCTATTGGTTATGAAACCAGTCAACTGGATTTCACTATCTAATACTTCTGACGTTAACCAAGTTTCCGAGACAGCAATAACGTCCGGTTTCTCTTTATCCACCACTGACTTGAGCTCCGCCATTTTATTCAGTAGGCTGCGAGCATTTGTGTAGCATACGTTTAAGTCTGTGGAGAGCTTTCCCTTGCCACCCAGAGTGGCTTGGGGATCGTTTTGCTCCGAACTTTTACAACTTGAAAACCCTTAAGAACAAGGTTTCGTTCCCCGTTTTGGCAACGCTCATTTATTTCCGCTTCTGCAGCTCGTCTCTTAATACGATCAGCTAGGCTGAGATCCTCACGGACATATATTCCGGATTCTATCAGTTTACGTGAATTACTTAGAATCAGGTTCCTTTCTTCCACCGTGTTGAATGTAACCTTCAGGAGGCGGTTTTTCGGAGGACTTTTGGAATCCACCTTTTTTCCTATTCTATAAAGCTTACAAATACTGACTCCTGAAACTGTATCTGGGAGTAGTTTACTTAATGATGTCTTAATATGATTGAGATCGTGTTCAAATCTCGCCTTTGGTTCTTTATCTGAAGATTCTCTTATCTTATGAAAAATGACTGATCTCTCAAAGAGATCTGTCTTGTCACGCAGTGAGGATTTTTCTTCTGATAACATCCCTTCCAATGCCTTGCTGACCAGCTGCGTTTTGCCCACAGTCTTTTTCTTCCCATTTCTTTTTCTCCTTACTGAAGTCCATTTGTCACCAGTCAGGACAGCCACACCTGGACTACGTGGAACGGTAACAGTTTTATCCGGATCTTCTATTTCGGCTAGAGGTGTATGACTGCCGATGTCAATATCAAGCGGCACTTTATTCCTCGTTAATGTCAACGGAGATTTCACGTTCCCGTCAACCACAGTCAGGTGTTTAACGGGTCCGGTAGCAGCACTTACTACACTGACACATTCTTCTCCGTCAGTGCTCTTGTTATCATTGCTTCCGCCATCGTTTTTCTTGCAGGCCAAAGCCAATAGGCCCATAGCCTCCCAAATTAGTACTTTTTTATCCGTACAGCAGAACATACAAAGCCAATGCGAGTTAGGCTTCGAGCATCTTTTGTAAGCCGTCGGACTTAGGCGTGTACACATTTTGTGGTACCACTTTTTACAATCGTCACATTGCATTCCCTCCTCCACGGGGAACAAACAATTTGGTTGCCCACATTTGTGAGTCTTACCAACCATTGTAATTCGATTTAAAAGGTTTAAAAAACACAAAATGATCACAATGTGAACACAAGTGTTAGTCAGGAGTGAAAAAAAGTACTCAGGACAAAATTTAGCAAAAAGTTTCAAACTTTAACCACAGTACTTTAAGTTAAAGTAGACCAAGAATGCTTTTTGGTGCACTCTGGTTGTTGAGTACACATAAATAATACTGAAGCTATGCGGTCGAGGCTGAAATAGCTTATGAGACTTTATCAAAATACCAGTGGCATACAGGTTTTCACACCGTGTCATCAACACTTGGAACCTGCTGCCTGAAGCAGTGGTGTCCGCACCTTCAATTGACTCTTTTAAGAGAAGACTGGAAACTCACAGAAGCATACTAGAAGAGGAATAACATAGGCCGTAGGCCTTCTGTCCTTACTACACAAATCTGAATCTAAATACTATGACTATAGTCCTTGTATATACTGTTAAGTTCACCAACATATATTTGGGTAAGTGGAATCATTTACCAGAACTGCTGTTTTAATTAGCAAGCAGAAACACTCAAAGAACCTTACAATTAAAATCTAGAGACATCATCCTTCATAATAGGTTACAACTCACATGAACAGAAACAACCACGTTTATATGTTGACCGTACATCAAGGTCGTAATAACAAAAAGAAGTATAGTTAAAACTTCAGATTCAGAATTGTGTAATAGGGACAGAAGGCCTATGGCCTAAGTTACTCCCTTTCTAGTATGCTTCTGTAGGTATCTGGTCTTTTTTCGAATGATTCGATTGAAGGTACGGACACAACTGCTTAAGGTAACAGGTCCCAAGAATTGATGACTCCGTGTGGAAACCACGTATGCCACTGGTATTTTTTCGTTCTAAGCCTTTCTACTCACCTGCTATGTCCTCTGAGAAGTTCCGATCTATTGAGAAGAAAAAGAGAGAATATGTTGGGTCAAAAACCATTCCTTAGTATTCTACACACCAGAATCAGATCACCTCTTAATATGCTGTAGTGGTAAGTAAATCCCCAAAATATATTGCCCTGTAAGTCTTTGACATGGGATGCCGACCATATTAGTTTTAATGGATTCACCTAACTGTGGGCGTTCGGTCATGCATCCTCACCAAATCACGAGTGGGAACGCCGCGCTCAACATCCCTTGCAATCGCTAGCCAGATTAGATCAATCGATCCTCGATATGTTGATAGCCTATCAAATATATCTTCCAACCTCCCCGCTTCTGTCTTTTGATTTCACTTAGTGGGTACGATCCGTGGTAGAAGGTGTTACTGGTTAAAGCGTTGTCAAACTCCAAATACCTGTGGCATCCTCACTGCGATAGGACAGAGTAAAGAGGTCTAGCTTTTAAAACCCTAGAGTTCCGCAATTGCACGGGTAGCTACTCCCTGCATTTTTTTCAGGACATCCGAGTCATCTTTTGAACAGGAGCTTGCAGCCTGAACGCGGTTCACAAGCCTAGTTCTCATTAAGGTTGTGTATAATGTGGTGAACATGGTAGTATTTAACTTGACGAATGTCCGTCTTATAGCCCATAGGGTATGTAGACACACTTTGCCGTGTTGATGAGCACCAGCCACTCCTTGGACCAGTTAATCGCAATATTTAAATCTGCCTGAAGCGCGCATGCATTTGCATCTTCCGTTATTTAATGTCAGATTTTTACATCGTCAGCGTATAGCAACATTGGGGACTCTACTGTACTTGGGAGATCATTTACATACAGTATAAAATATAGAGAACCTATGACAAAACCTTGAGGCATTCTATTAAGTACTGGTCTCCAGGTGGCGCACTTCGAATTTATTATTAATTTCTGTCTACGACCTACTAGGAAATCTCTAAGCCATTTTAGTGGAGGTCCGGCAATACCAAGGTTTTCTAGCTTCCATTGCAGTCTATGTGTTGGCACCTTGCCAAATGCTTTGCTTAAGTCTGTATAGACAACTTCCACTGATTTCCCGTTGTCTAGAACCTTTGTCCATTGCTCCCTTGCTATAAGGAGGTTTGTTGTACAAGATAAACCTTTTCTGAAAACATGTTCGTTGTTTAATAATTTGTTGGTTTCCACAAATGTCATTATGATCTTTTTGACTATTCTTTCCAGTAATTTAACTACGACACCGGTGAGGCTGACAGGTCTGTAGTTCGGTGGATGATAATAATAATTGAAGGAAGTAACGAAGTACATGGTTTTGGTAACTAGAGTTGTCTAATTTTTTATTTCTGTTAGTGTACTCAAGCGTCAAAATTATAAAACGATCGATACGAGAATATGGATACACTTTAATGCAGATTGTCCTCGAGAACGTGGAACTTGTTCAGAGCGTGAGGAGTTGATTGGATGTGATTATGGCGTATCATATATATTATATTCCTCCTCACCCTAACAAATCATCGACTCGTTTCATCAACAAACTGAACGTAAGATAGTGGTAACTCCACCTGTAGCACTTCTATGGCGACAGATGGTCCGAAGCCCGGGTGAATAGGGAAGGTTTGGCAAGGCATCAGCATCCCCATCCCATGGAAAACAACTTTTCTAAAAAATGTGCTAACCAGAATAAACAAATTAAACCAGTTAACCATTCTCTCCGAGTTGAAAAAAGAATTAATAATAATATATTTCTGTATGAGCAGGTACACGCCATTCTTACAGGCATGATCTATAAATTACAATATTTGTTGGTTCACAAAATGCTTCCCAACTTATTGAGTTTATAGTTGTTATAAGGTATACTCATAAGGCGCCTGCTGCAAACCGTGACCTTGAGGAGACGCGTACGTCAAGTTTGTTCCAGACGTCAGAGGTTTCATAACTGTGCCCTCAGAGCAAAGTTCTGAAGAAAAAAAAGAGAAACGGAAGAGCAGCAAGGAACTTGGATATGAACGCACAACGTTGCTTAACATTGTGTAGTAGAACGGACAGAGATATAATAAATTAGAATAAATTCATATTATCTCTTGTTAGAGTGAAATGAAGTCAGAGGCTCCATATAAGAGAATGTAGTAATAAAGAACAATGAGTTGTGATGTTTAACAAGTTGGGGTAAGCTCACATGAAGGAAGGGAAGTCAAGGTTGGTACAAGGAAGGCGGTTTATTAGAAGGAAGTGTGCATATAGAGGGTGAAGTGTTAAGAATACTAATGACTATATCTTTTATTGCCTAATTTTTTCTTTCTTTTCATTTTTTGTCCATCCGATGCTAGTCAACATAGTGTACAGAAGAGTAAAAAGGTAATAAAGAATAAACGGTAAGAAATTCACACTAACTTGGTGCTGATGTTATTCTGTGTTGTCCTAGCCAGTTGATGAGTAACAGGTTCCATAGATGCAAGACCACTGGTATTAGGCAGTCGATCGTGCGGTCCTCTTGACTTTTCAGGGTGGTAGTGAGTGTCCCTTAGCGACCGAGTTTAGTTTAACAGTATCGATAGGTCCAGTGAGTTACCTGTCTACTTCAAGTGAAGAAATAGGTGGAAAAAGTAACTACTTACTTACTTAATTACTTACGCCTGTTACTCTCAACGGAGCATAGGCCGTCAACCAGTATTCTCCAACCCACTCAGTCCTGGGCCTTCTTTTCTAGTTCCATCCAATTCCTGTTCATTTTTCTCATGTCTATCTGTAGTGGCATTGGACCATAACCACACAATCCTCAAAGCTGAACATGAGACAACTCGGAAAATAGATATTCAATATTTAACACGGAGAAATACCTAACGATAAAGAGGGCGCGAACAACGAGTTGAGTGAATTAGAGTTGATCGAACGGCATGGCTCGGCCATGCAGGCGTGGTCCCTGCTGAATGTTATCTTATTTCTTCTATTCATATTAAATATATTATTCTTTCTCTAGCCTAACCTTGTTCTACATCATGTATTGGTAATTGATACGATACAGTGAGTTGGCGTAGTCGATGGTGTGACTTCCACGTAAGATCTTATAGATTAGGCAGTTATATCATGACAAATCTACAAATTTAGGATTAGGTCTATTATTAGAGCAGCACTAATATCATAGTAGACCATAATTCTACATATCTCCATTTCCCGGTGTAATGTGTTCTTTGGTATTTCTCTTTTCCTTCGGCCTTGAGGATTCCAAGTGAGGGCTTGTCTTGTGACGCAGTTGGGTGCTTTCCTCAATGTGTGTGTCCTATCCACTTCCAGCGCTTCTTCGTGATTTCTTCCTCCACTAGGATCTAGTTTGTTCTCTCCCATAGTAGTTTGTTGCTGATAGTGTCCGGCCAACGGATCCGAAGTATTTTACGTAGACAACTGTTAATGAACACCCGCATTTTCTGGATGATGGCTTTCGTAGTTCTCCAGGTCTCTGCCCCATATAGTAGAACTGTCTTGACATTTGTATTGAAAATCCCGATTTTGGTGTTGGTTGACAGTTGCTTTGAGTTCCAGATGTTCTGCAGTTGTAAATATGCTGCTCTTGCTTTGCCGATCCGCGCCCCCACATCTGCATCAGATCCATCGTGTTCATCAATGATGCTGCCCAAGTATGTAAAGGTGTTTACATCTGCCAAATCTTCTCTGTCAATTGTGATTGGATTGGTGCATGCTGTGTTGTACCGGAGAATCGTTCTTTTCTCTTTGTGTATATTAAGACCAACTGCTGCTGAAGCGTCATAACCCTTTTAAATGAAGACTTTCTGACTCCCAGGGCAAATTTTAAATGGTTTGAATATTTTTTTCTGGTTAACGTTTTTTTAGCGAGTTAGTTTTCTATAGGATAGGGTCGCCAACTTTATGCCCAACCCTCCTCCTTTATACGCAATTGGGACTGGCAGTAGCCCCTGGAGGGGCTCTAGGCGGAGTTGAAAAAGTAAATGATACAACTGCAAAGTACGAAAAACAAAGCAAACGGAACTTGAAGTCCATTTTGATCTAGACATGTAGAGAGCCCATGATGTCTGAGTGAGGCGCAGATGTGTTCGTGCGTGCTAGATCAGTGCAAGTGAGAGCATGATCAAGCAGTTTTACAAACGTACGTAATTCATCTGCCAGAAGCGTTTCGGAAGAAAGACTGTTCCGTATAATTGCATAGTTGATGCGGCCTCATGGTGAAAGCCGAGTTTCTTTAGAAGTCACGAGGCCGATGCCCCGTTTGGCAATGTTAATAACGTATTTCTGTAAGGGCAGGTACATGCCATTTTTACAGGCATGATCTACAAATTACAACAGTATGCTTCCCGAGTAGGGTCGTTAAATAGATATAATCAACAAAATCGAATAACAGAACGTTCGTGCAGATTTTTTGGAGTGTTAATGATTAGGTTTATGCTCTAGCATTATACTGAGTACAGTCTTCAAAATATTTTCAAAAGTGGCATCGCGTACACGTTACACACCAGATCCAATCTCGGCATAATTGTGTTAGAATTTTGGTCGCGCTATGTATTTATGCAATAAAAATGTTTGAGTTTATAGTTGTTATAAAGTAGACTTGTAGAGCGCTTGGTGTGAACTATGAGAAAACGCGCACTTCAAGTTCATTTCTGACGTCAGAAGTTCCGTAGCTGTGCCCTCAGAGCACGATTCTAAAAAAAAGAGAAACAAAGGAGCAGCAAGGCACTTGGATATGAACGCTAAACAATGCTTAACATCTTGCAGTGGAACGGACA